TTTGTGACTGCTGCGGTTTTTTCTGTTTTGTGGCTGATTGTCTGAGGCGCTTTAGAAATTTGTGCACTGCAACTCGATGATTGGCCAATTGTCTGATGTATGTGTAGTTGGATTCAATGTGTCTAATTTACTGTTTGGCTTTGGGCTTTGGATATCGGTGTTTCGGCTATGTTTTGGTTTCGTGTAGAGGTTAGAGTTGGTCAAGCTTTTATAGGTGGCATGCAGAGGCGTTGACAGAGGCATGGGTAGAGGCGGAGGTAGAGGCACAGGCACAGGCATAGGCATAGGCATAGGCATAGGCATAGGCATAGGCATAGGCAGAGGTATAATCAGAGGTAAAGGTCTAGTTTGGGGTAGTGGATTCGTGCACTAACTACTGACAAGTGGAGTGGCGTAGGTCTAGTTGGAATTACGGATACGAGTATAGTACATAGAGGGCATGCAGCTTGATTGGGTAAATGAGATAATCAACTAGTTGATCAATTGGGAGCCAATAAACGCTAGAGCTACGCAATCTACGGGCTGCCTGCCGGACTGTCCTGCGGCTGGCTGTCAAAGTCCTTATCGGGCTCAAAGTTGGTTAGCTCGTCGGGTAGACTCTCGTAATCCTTATCGAGCGGCCGCCCCACATCGTTCGCATCGTTATCGGCAGCGTCATCGTTATCGTCGTCGTCATCGGCATTGGGCTTGCGGGCCGCCGGGCTCGTTAGCCCCGGATTGAGAATTGTGCCCAAGACGACGGGTCCGACGCGTTGCAAGACATTATTGACTACACGATTGATTTGCGTATTGATTTCCTAGGGAATGTTCGGGCAATACAACGATTAGCAATGACAGAGCCGAACACCGCTCCGCATAGCTGAACAGCGCTCGTTTCGGCTGTGATCTACGTGGCTGCAGATGCGAGTATCGAGGTCGATATAGGCCTAACCTGATTGATATGCCTAGCAGAGGGGGCTTTCGGGGGGCTTCTCTGGGTGTTACGCTGGCTATTCTCTATGGTCATACGCACCTTTGTTATGTCCGGAAACAGCTCGCGCAGCAGTCCAATTGTTCTCTTGTTGCGATCGGCTATCAACTGATCTTGATCTTTGGCGCCAAGTGTCAAGACATCGATTTCCTGCAAGGCAAAGCAAAAGCGAAAAACAACAACAACGAATTAACACAAAGACAATTTAATGTAATGCTCGTTACATAAGCCAGCAAGTGGCACTAAAATACAATACAAATACAAATCACGGCCCCACAGCTGAACAGAAAATGAGCCAGCAAAACGCAAAGATTGCTGCCCACCAGCAACAACAACAGCAGCAACAGCAACAGCAACACCAGCAGCAACAACAACAGCAACACCAGCAGCAACATAGACAACAATTGACGAACTTTCACTTTGTACAATGAGGCAATGAGTCGGTGGTCTCGTCGCGTCTTTTGGCTGCTTTGTGGCTGCCATTTGGAATCACGTTTCAAGTCCACACACACACACACACACACACACACACGCGCACACTTCAAAATCAAATCTCAAAAACTGCAATAATTTTTAACAAAAAAAAAAAAAAAGAAAAACAAAACGGTTTGCAAATCTATTTAGTGCTTTGCCATTTGTATAAATTTTATGTCTGCTGTCGATATTTATTATTTGTAGTGCGCTCTCATTGCAGCTCAGCTCTGATTGACGTTCATTCAAATGACCCACATTTGGCAGCGCTGCCAACTTTTAAAGGCTTGCCTATACCCTGTAACTATTGTGCAAAGTGTAGTTCAGACATTTGAGTTAAGCTTGCTTTTTAAGGAGCTGAGCTTAAAAGATTTATTTGTATCTGCTTTCTGCTTATAAATATCATTTGGCTGTTTCAATAAGATTTCCTGCTCTACAGGCCAGAAGTATTCAATGCTAGTACTTGAAGAGGGGCTGACATTCAGTCTGAGTAATATCTATTATAGATATATACGAATGTATGTAAGTATATGCTTACACGCATTATTTACTGAGAAAATATATATTTAGCATTGTCTAAATCTAGAATAGCTAGCGGAGTCCAAAGAGATATTTGAATAATACTAATAGTTATATTAAGAAAATACTATCAATAGCAAATAATAACTATTTGTTCTATTGCTGTTCTTATTGGTATTTCGTTCTCTTATCTAAAGCGTAGGATTAATAAGTTTAATTATTTTGACACTCTATAGAATGTTCCCATTAAATAGGAACAACATTCTAAATTTGATATTAGGCAGTAATCTATTTTCACTAAATAAATTATCTCTAACATTAATAAAATATGAGAGAATAGTCAAACTTTTGTCTGGCCGATTAAAAAACTATTAGAGCCAGAGCTTAGGCTCTATAATAATCGCTGATGTACGATAAAAATGAGATCAATATGCTAGCATATAACGAGATTGTGCTATATATAGATACTTGTAGAGTTTTACCTTTGACTAGACATATTTATGCCTTCTGCACTTTGTATACTTTAAATTTTCATAGACATTATATGCCTAATGTTTTTTATATGCTCCATGTACTTTATATGCTTTTATATACTTTACATATTGTTTTTACATTTATATTCTTTCAATACTTTATTGACCTTATATACTTTATACACTTTACATACTTTATAAAGTGTATATGCCACTCATAATTTATATCCCTTTGATCTACATGTACTTTCTATAGTTAATGTACTTTATATTGCTGAATACTTTTATATTTCACAAGTAGAGCTGACGCCCGGCGAGGCTCAGCCTGCTTTATAAATTTGATAATTACATCTTTTCGTTCTTCAACTATTTTCAATGGGCTCGCAGTGTTCCAAAGAGATCCGAAAAGTGTTTAGTTTTTGGTAAGCTTTCAGTAAGCCGCCAAGTTGTGTTTCCTCTTTTGTTCACCTGATGAACTCGGCCTTAATCTGCACTCAGTCAGCGCTCTTGAGTGTCCCAGTTAGGGCGCCCGCTCGATAGTCTGTAGTCATTTTAGCCGCCGGACAGCAAAAACTTGTTCATAACTTGCACAGTTTCCACTTAAAGGCAGACACAGGCACGGGATAGGGAGAGGGAGAGGCAGAGGGGGAGAGAGAGGGAGAGGGAGACAGAAGGAGAGCGGATTCCCGGGTAAATGACTGGTACAAAAAGTTGTAAACATTAATGACAATTGCGACGCAGCTAAGTCCAAGAAAATATTGCACAAAAATATTTTAAGTGCATTCAATTTGCACGGCAGCCGTACGAGATGACTTGGACAATCAACAGCACGAGTCATTGGACATGCAATAGCTGCAACGATAATTGCATTTGCCTATTATAACAATTGTTTTTGCATTTGCTACCCAGCAGCAGCAGCAGCAGCAGCAGCAGCAATCTTATATGCAGGTGCCCCAGCCCCAGACGCTTTACCAATTCAACTTGAATTTCGTTCTTCTTTGTTGTCATTTATATTCGCTAACCAAGTACCCGAAGAGCATTTCAGTGGAGTACAATGCTCTGCTAATATGCCCATTTGTTTCTGTTGGCTCAAACATATTCGAATTGGTATATGTACAGCAATATATAAGCGTCAGGCAACAAAAAACAAGGCCCGAAATTGCGAAAAGCTAAATATATCTTTCACAGAGCCACAGGGTGGCCATATCTCTCATCTTTTTTTGTATCCCAACCAATTCAGTTTTCGACAATTTTGTGCAGTTTAGCTATATGTGTAGTTATAGGAACATATAACAGAATCTATCATCCAAATTTTTGTATATAGAGCCTTGATTTTGATTTCCTTACAGTAGACTATTAATATTAGTGCTTGAGTTCATCTTTCAATTATATAGGAGCTCTAACTAAGGTAACTCTATTGTATGCATAGGTAGACAGCATTTGTGTGCTATGCAGGTGCTAGTCGTGATCTAATTTTTAGAAACTTCTTCTAGCTATCTCAAAGGCAATGAATCCAAACTGAATTAAACTAACTCAGATCTAGAGCATTCTGTTATCAAGAATCAGTTTATACTGCAAATGTTCTGAATCTGAATCTGATCAAAATCATCAGAGAAAGAGACGAATTAAAACAGGCATCAGTAAAGAGAGAGAGAGGGCGAGGGACTGAAAAAGTTAAGATTGTGTTTGATTTAAAAAGGGATTCCCTAGGCACTTCCAGTAAGAGAAGGAAAAACTTTTCGTATTACGAAAAAGCGAAACAAATTCGAACTATCATGAGCGAAAGAGACTTTACTAATAAAAGGTATAAATGAAGAGAGAGAAGATAAATGTAAAAGAAAAAGTTTTCATGTTAGACAAAATTAAGTTCAAGCATCTGAAAGACTGTCGTGAGATTGATACATGTCATATCACATCATATAATCCGATTTGAGTTGACTTGATTTCAACAATATTATATACTAAAATATGAATTATTTGTGTGATTCAGCTAAAAGTAACCAAGTACAGCGAACATAACGGAAAGCTAATATACCCGCTCTGCCCACTGAGGCGGGCACGGGGTTGACTTCTTGACTGCGGGGTATCAGTGAATATGTATTTGTGTTGGTACTCAGTGAGCACTGCACAGAGCTGAAGTAGTTTTAAATACAGTTAAATCACTTTAATGTGAGTCCATTGTCTGGCAACGACTATCAATAGTATTCCCAGGCGGAGCTGGCTGCTTAGCGAGACGTTAATCTGCGAGTTACCTGATTCGTTGTTGTTATTGTTATTGTCATTGTTGTTATTGTTGTCATTGTTGTTGTTGTTGTTGTTGTCATTGTTGTTATTGTTATTGTTGTGTGTTTAATTGTCTCAAAAGTCAGCGCGGAAGTTGCCTTTATACACGGACGGAAGCTAATGCCAGCGGCAGCGACCGCAGCTATAAAGAAAAGAAAAACTAACTTTTCTCAGTTTGGGCAGCAGCAAACTGTTTTGCTATTGTCATCTCTGAGCTGCCGGCCGCTCTCTATTGTGCGCCGTCACCTGGTGAACCGGCCCTTCAGCTGCCCCTGCTGCCCCTGCTGCTGCTGCTGCTGCTGCTGCTGCTGCTGCCCCTAATGATCTATCATATTTAAGCAGTTTGTCAACTTAGTGCGACAATTGTTAAGTTTTAACGAGGAAAGGAACAACTCTTGGGCCAAAGTTGTTTGATTTTTATTGCTAGTCTTAATGAATTTCAAATTGGCCAAACTGACTCGAATACATTCAAAGCAAAGTAGCATGAGACATGTACATACATCTATATCTGTATGTGTGTATATTCCAGGCGACGTCATCAAAGCAAACGCTGTGCATTTTAAATAGCAGCCGCAGTCATTGCTGCTGTGTACCTACACTGGATACCAATTAGTGCTGAGGACGGAAGAGGCTTGTCAATAAGGTAATCAGACAAAAGTGTTATTTTTAACGCACAGTGGTTATATGTATGTGTTATATGTATGCATATGTCAAATAAACGATATAGTCTACGAATCTTTCGTAAAGACATTTGTGTTTAGCCCAAAACTAAATTTTGAGATTTGATTAAAAGTTTAGCTTGTTCAAATTAATACCATTACCTATATTATTATTAATTATCTTAAATATCATATATCATTTGTTTATATGGTATTAAGATATATTAAATGTTATATGTGGTCCATAGCATTAATAATAATTGTA